CCTCTTATCAGATTCCTCGAGTCTGCTCTATGGATCAATCGCCCAAGCACATCAACAATCAGGGTGAAAAGAAAAGGGGAAAGAGGATCTCCTTGTCTTAGACTTCTCAACGCAGGAAAGAAGTCAACCACAGTCCCGTTCACCAGGATAGAATAATGGCAAGTCCTAACACAGCCCCAGATCCACTTACACCACCCGTCACCAAAACCTAAACTCCTTAACACCTCCATCAAGAAAGGCCAATCAACCAAGTCAAAAGCCTTCTCCAAATCCAATTTGCAAACCACTCCCTTCTTCTTTGACTTCCTAAAGCTCTCCAAGCTCTCATTTGCAATGAGAATCTGATCGGTTATCTGTCTTCCCGCCACAAAAGCACCTTGGTTGGGTGCAATAATAGAGGGGAGAACCTTCTTTATCCTGAGAGACARCACCTTTGCAATGATTTTGTACAACCTAGTCACCAGACTAATAGGTCTAAAATCCTTAGGTTGAGAAGCATTTTTCTTCTTTGGGACTAAGGCAATGAAAGTTGAGTTCAAGCCCGGATTTATTACACCCCTCCTGTGGAACTCCTCAAAAACCGATCTAAGATCATTCTCCAAAATATCCCAACAATCCTGGTAAAAGGCCATTGTGAACCCATCTGGACCCGGAGCTTTTGTCCTATCCATAGAGAATACTGCTTCCTTTACCTCCTCCATATCAAACCTTTTTTCTAACCACTCTCTCTTCTCTGCACTTAGAGCCAGCCTATCCAAACCCTCCAACCACACTCTCTCATTCATAGGCCTTCTAAAAATAGATTTGAAGTGGTTTACTAGAGCCTCTACAATTTCAGCCGGATGGGACAAAATTGCTCCATAAACTTCCAAATTAGAGATGAAATTCTTCTTTCTCCTTCCATTTGCCACTGAATGGAAAAACTTTGTGTTTCTGTCTCCCTCCTTTAGCCACTTACACCTAGATTTTTGCCCCCAACTGATTTCCTCCTTAACCAAGATGTCCTCCATCTGCTTCCTCAAAACCCATCTCAACTTCCTTTCTTCCTCTCCAAAGGGGCCTCTCTCTTCCTTCAAGTCCAAATCCTCGATTTGCTCCACCAGAACTCGTTTTCTCTCTTCTAATCTTCCAAACTCTAGCCTATTCCACTCCTTTAATTGAGATTCTAAGTATTGGAGTTTCTTGTGGAACCTCATTCCCTCCCAATCAACTATCGGATTAGCTTGCTCCCACCACTCTCTGATCTTCTCAATGAAACCCGGATGAGTCAACCACATATTTTCAAACTTGAAAGGGGTAGGCCGTACTCCTCTTATTTCCTCCTTGACCAACACTATAGGCCAGTGGTCTGAAGTAAGTCTAGGGAGAGCCCTAGAAGTA